AGTGGCCTATCGTGGCATGAGCACATGCATTTGTGTAGTCAGGTTCAACCTCCGTTCCATCTAGTCTTGCAGTTTTCTTTCATTTGTGAGCAAACATGTTATATAATTTGTTCACATGGATTTCAACATAGTTATAACCCCTTTGTGAACAATTTCCATCCAAATCATTTTTCCCAAACAAACAGTTTCAAGTAGTTTCCACCTCCAGTTATAATTTTCGTCATTGCAAGATCACTCAGCGCCATTGCCTCCTTAGTTTGTGCCAGCTAGGGCCTAAGGCCTATGACTCGACTCTGACTATGAAGTGGTGAAAAGAATACTGTGCACAGCAGCAGTGACTAGGATCCTGTCGCCCCCTTTCCTTGTCCATATTCGCTTTCCTCTCAGCAGTCTGTTGGTAGCGGCCACTATACTAAAATAAGATTACACCCTGTGGCGTTCTGTGATGTCCACCTTTACAGGAAATGAAGTGGACAAACATTTATTACATATCGTTCATATCATATCATATTACAGTTGCATAAGGTGTTACGAGGAGTTTGGCCTCCCACAGGATTTGTTACATGAGGTACGGTAGTGGTAGTGTTGGAGACGTATACAGCCAACAGACAGAGAGGCCAGAAACCAATCTAAATACTGTTCTTGGACCCTTTCGCTTTTCCGTTCTTCACAGGGCCATTTCAAAGGTTGAGGCTTGAGCGCTCTAGACTGGTATTGCAGTAACTAACTTTAAAGTGCTAATGCTCACTGCGAATTTCTGAAACTCCGCTCTACGGAGCACTCTTCTCAAGTGTGTGTGTGTGTGTGTGTGCGGTGCAAACTGAGAAACGTGCACCCCAAAGCGAAAAGAGCAGCTCGGAAACGCTCTGCGCTGAGTGAGGCTGGGCATGGGGGGGGGGCAGATTTTTCTCGGCAGTCCGCTTGTTGCAAAAGGTGATGAAAAAGGCCCTGGGTTTGGGTACCAAAAGTGGAGGGTGGAGAGGTTTCGCTAGGGCAGGCCTCCCCTGTCGACGGTGGAATTGGTGGTGAGAGTGCAATTTCAAAAGTGGAACATGTTGAATGCAGCAGCTCTTGTGGCTTAGCAGCTGGCAATGAGCAGATGGTCCGTCTCCACGCATGCCACTCATCTCATGATACGTGCCACAGCCGCGCTCAATCGTGCAACCAGCAGTTGCGCAGCATGGAGGGAGCAGCAGCAACCAGCAGCAGCAGCAGCAGCAGCAGCAAGCAGCAGCAACAGCAACCAGTGGCAGCATTAGTAAAGGCAGCAGCAGCAGCAACAACAACAGCGGCAGCAGCAGCAGCAGCAACAGCAACCAGCGGCAACGAGCAGCAGCAATAGCAGCAACCAGCAGCAAGCACCAACCAGCACCAGCGACAGCAGCAAGCAACAGGCAACAAGCAGCACAGCAGCAAGCAGTGCAGGAAGGAGCAAGCAGTACAGCAAGCAGCCAGCAGCACAGCCAGCAGCAACAAGCAGCAGCAGCCAGCAATAAACCACAGATTGCAATAGACCACAGTGGACACGCCAGATCACTACCAAATTCTCCGCGGCACAGGGTGGAGTCTGCTGGCGGCTTGCTGCTGCTGGCTGCTGGCCGCTGCCTGCTGGCTGCTGGCTGCTGGCTGCTGGGCGCTGGGCGCTGGGTGCTGGGTGCTTGTGAAGATTTGTAAACCTTTCTTGCACCTTTCTTGCTGTGTGGCCAAACCATTTTTCTTCCAATCTTTTCCTTTCCTTGCAGAGATTGTTTTCGTTGAATTTGATTCTTCTTTGTTCCACGAACTGTTCTTGTGAGCAGTGCTGTTTGTGAAGACTGTGATTGATGCAGTTTCCTTTCTTGAACACTGATGTGTACACGTTCGTTGAATACAAGTTTTACCACACATACTTGCACACGTACAAACGGAAACGTCGAGAACGTTGAACATTCACTGAACACGTTCCTGGAGCAACATTGGCAGTACGGATCTCAGATCTATTCGTTCGATGCGTTGAAAACACGTTCCAAGCAGGTACGACAGATTTGTTCCTTCTAACGGATGCCATTTCTGCACTTGATTGCAGTAAGGGCTGTTCAGATGAAAGCATCTCCTTTTGCAATGCATTCCACTCCCAACGTCGATTGAACGACAGAGGTTGGAAAACTACTGATGTTCTCACGTAGGATCATTGTGCAGTTTGATTCGACACAGTCTCACTGTTTTGCATTGCACGTTGATCAGATCAATCTGTTCTCTTTCAGTTCTTTTGATATCACTGTGAGTGCAGTCTACTGTTTCAGATCTTCTCAGATCTAAGTTTGTAGGATTATGAATTTTGAACTATATGTGCATATACAGACGCCATATCTGTACTCTGTTTTGTGCGCTACATGTTGCAACGGTGACACCGTGTTACGTCCCAATACGCTACCCTGATTGCACTGCAGTTGTGCTGCTTCACTTGGTGCACGTTTGGAGTACTGCGCACTCCATTTGTTTCTTCCTGGGTGATTCACCGGTTGCCCGTATGCGTGTTCATGGTTCTTGGATTCCTTGAGAACTTGCATTCGTTGTTCGAGCTTCACTGCAGTGGGTCCCACGCCACTTGGGTCTCTGTACTTGTGTGCACTTGATCCTTGAGGATTCATGCCTGCATGAACGTTGTGCCCCTTACGGGATGCCATTTGAACTATATGTTACTGACCAGTGTTCAGTACCGATCCTCGTTGACGTTGTCCCCGATTGCTTTGGTTCGTCTTCGTGCGGATCTCACGACCCACTTTTGTGTTTCCTCCTTGTTCAAGGAACACCGGAATCCAGCCAGATTGAATTTGAAATGTTTGTATGTGAAGGACAGATTTGCAGTGATTTGAATAGTTTTCCTCGAATTTCCTCAATTTTCTCACGAGAGAAATGCGGTCAGATGTGTACAGATGAATTCACGAATTCGTTCAAGACACGTGCGACATTTGCCAGTAAACGTGGCTCAAGCCCCGAGACGGAAAAGATCAAAGTGATCTTGGACGATTGTTCACGAACCGTCGTCGTTCGGTAGCTAGAGGTTTCCTACCTTTACAGTGCTGGGTGCGGGGTGCTGGGCGCTGGGTGCTGCTGCCTGGTGCTGGTGCTGGGTGCTGCTGCTTGCTGCTGCTGCTGGTTGCTGCTGGTTGCTGCTGCTGCTGGTTGCTGCTGCTGCTGGTTGCTGCTGCTGCTGCTGCTGGTTGCTGCTGCTGCTGCTGCTGTTGCTGGTTGCTGCTGTTGCTTGAATCCTGAAGGCTGCTGCTGCTTTTCTGGCTGCTGTTGTGGGGTGCTTGTGCATTGCCTGTGTTGGTGCTTTCGGGGTGGGCGTCTTCTGTCTGCAAAGATACCTTGTTTGGCCCTGCTGGCAGGAGGTGTCAGTCGACTGTGAAGGGCCGAATAGAGAGGACAGGTGGGGCTTTCGTTATAGCATCACCTACCTCGACTGCCTTTCTCACGCGGTGTTGATAGAACCGATGCGGAGTCTGTCGCACGCGGAGGTCCGGAGGGCCTTCGGCAGATGCGTGTTCCGGAGTAGAACTCTCCCCACACTGGTCAGGTCAGACCGCGGGACGGAGTTCCGGAACAGTTTGTTTGCTGAGTTTGTGCTCTGCTGGGTATTCAGCAGCGGTTCAGCACAGCGATGCGGCCATGTGAACTCGGTTCAAATGAGTGTGTCCATCAGGAGGTTCAGAAGACCCTCCGCATCATAATCCGAGAACTAGCTCATGGAGAGACGGAGGAGTGGCGGAGCAGTCCAACCTATAGAGGCTATGCGTTATGAGAAGGTATATGTTGTGCTTCTTTGCGATTGTCTTGGTGAAGTGACGCAGGAGCGAGAAGTTTATCTAGTGGTCGACATGGCTTAGTGCCACCTCCACTCAAGCGCTGAAATTGGCTATGAAAAAGAGGGTGCAGATCATAGGCATGACAGGGGTGTTGCAACCGCTGGACAGCCATGTTTTCAGAGTGTTGGCTAGAGAGGAAGAGCGCAACTGATGATGGCCAAGTTTCGCTCCACATCTGGTTCAAAATTGTCAAAAATGCAATTGATGCATTTGTCATGAGCAAGAGTTGGCGGCATGCGTTTGAGCGAGTTGGAATCTTGTCGTCCCAATCTCTGATGTCCCCCAAGCTTTTGAAAGCTTTGGCTTGGGAGAGTTGCCCAGAAATCGCAAACACATTGCCAGCGCCGGGCCAAGCGGCCAGGATGTTTCCACGGTCAAAAGCCAACGTGGCAATGTGGGTGCAATGGAAATCGGGTGTTTCGTTCCCATTCACACTTTGGAGAAAGCGCCAAAAAGCTGACTGTATCATCTAGCGTTGGAACTGGCACGCCTTCTGACCCATTCCACCCAAAAAGCCGGATGCCTCAAGATATGCCAGAGAGCCAAACAGAATGCAAGAAACACCCAAGTAAAACGGCAGGAGGTATGCCCGAATGCCAGATATTATTGCAGAAGTGCCACAAGAGTGCCACGATATGCAAATAGAACGCCGGAAAGCATGTCAGAAGGTGCCCCTGTCAGAAGCACTTGCCAGAAGATATGCCAGAACACGTATCACTTCGCGCAACAGGGATGTCAAAACAAATTCTAAGACATTTCCCAACCTTTAAAAACTTTATGACAAATGACGTGTCAGAACACAAACCAGAATTGATGCCAGAACAAGTGTCAGAACATTGTGTCAATGCACATGTCAGGCAGCGGCATATCAGGCAGCGGGTAGACTATCAATAAATGTGACCTGCCTTCTTCAAAGCGCCTCTGAGGGTGGAGACCACTCGAAGTGAAGTATGTCATTTTTCCTTTTTCAATGTGCCACAGAAGCCACAAAGCCTTTACAAAGCACATGCATGCTCTTTCGATGTCTGGCCTGTTTAGGAAGCTCATGTACACACGCGCAAAGCAAGATTCTCCAGGCACACCCATGTCAAACGCTCAAACCACTGGGCTGTCAACTGTTGGTCGTCACACCTGCAAATGGAGGGATCCAGCTTTGCAAATGTTTGCGACGAGCGTTCAAGCACACCGAGAAGAACCTTGAAATGCCGTAGCAACCGCAACACCCTGCGACCTGCACTTTTCGCGTTCATCGCATGGCCGTTCACCTGACCTCGACTCGAGCAACGGCTCGCCCACGCGGTTTCTGTGTCTGAGCTCATGACCTTGAGGCGTGAAGCTAACAGATTGGCCTCCAAAACCCACAAAGCGGCGCCAAGCGACGCCAAACGGCAGAAACAAAACTTCAGAAAGTATTTCTGCGTTTTTTTCGTTTCACGCTTTGATTCAGCCTGTGGAAGTCCGCGCGGGCATCGGCGACGGAATGACCACGGGAGCACCCGGAGCTCCCGCGTACGCAAATGACGCCAGCGACGCAACCGGCTCTTGTGGAAGGAATCCTTGCCTGGCAAAACAAATTTTGGACAAAATTAAATCAGATTTAAATGCAATTAGGAACAAGTGCCTTACTAGTAACAATGTTTGCTACTAGTAACAAGTGCCTTACTCGTAGTAACAGGTGCCTTACTAGTAGTAACAAGAAGCTAGTAGTCTGCAAAGCTTCTTCATACCGAAAGTGAATCACTAAAGTTGGCAGCAAAAACTGATGGCGCAAACGCGACGCCAATGACACAGCCGACGCCCAACGTGCCAAGCCCACGCTGGACTAGCATACATCGCTTCCTCGGTTCAGCGTGCTTTGTGGACCTTGTTACTACTAGTAAGGCACCTGTTACTACTAGCGATGCACTTGTTACTAATAGAAGTGAAGTTTCTGTTCTCATTTTGACACGCTTGAGGCGCTTGATATATCTTGACCTGAGAAATTCCAAGTTTCCGGCGGGTCCTCTCTGAGCCAGGGCCGGGGAAAAATGCACACACAGTCAATCAATATTTGTGTAGTCACTTGGGCCGAATGCGCTGGAAACGTGCAACTGCCAACTGCAACACGGATATCAAACAATGGATGTCCAACTTTACTACAACAGCGCGACAACATGTTAAGAGTACACCCGCCCTGAGGAGAGCTGGGAGGTTTGACGGCGGCGATGTACAGGGGCAAAATGATTCCCAACTTCGTGGCGTGAGGACACGCATTCGAGGGAAAATCTGCGAGGACAACGTCGGAAGGCGTAAACAAGCAGCTGCGGGCTGGGGAGGAAGGCGCAAACACATGCGGTGACATTGTTTTGTTCACTTTTTTGTTTTGCCCTTTGGGTGACTGTGTCATTCCGTCCGCGCGTCATGTCTCGATCGTATCCTTTAGAGAGCCGGGTGTAATGTGGATCACGACATCAAGAAACGTAACTTGGTGGATATTGATATCTGTCAGGTCTGCTCAAAACCTTGGAAAACTAAACTTCCTGAATTATCGCCCTCCATTCTTGCTGAAGAGACGCACCCTTGTCAACTTGTCAAGGGTTTGTGTCTGCGGATGATGTCAACTCAACTAGTGAAACAAGCGCGTCAGCCTGTAGACCTTCTGGCAGGTCTTAAGCGCTGTGGGTTCAGCTTCAGGGTTGTAGTTTTGGTGACATCTTCATAGAGCGTGGTGGGGTAGAACGCATTCATCGCGGAGGGGCACATCCGCGGAATTTAGAGCGCAAACCCTTCAGTTCAGCAATGTAAGTTGACCAATGTTTTTTCGACCACACGTGGAGTTTCTCCGCTGGTGATGCTTGCGATAAGATGTAAGCATTGCGCTTGTTTCTGGGAGTGGTCCACAAACAAATGTGATGACCCAACTCTAAGATCATCAATGGCTTAGCTTAGAAAATGAATGAGACGAATTTGGCAGCATTTCTCCAGGTGGAGGGAGGGATGTCAAGCAAGGTTGCATCCTTCAACACAGCCGAGGAGCGCAAAAACCCCCTGCACCGCACGCAGTCTGCGATCAAGAAAGGAATGGATGTCTTTGAAGCCGCAGTCATAGATCTGTTTGCAGATCGACCTCTCCAAAATAACTAAATACCGGTTGCGCAGCCACTGTCCCAAGAAGATACCTCTTGCTACCGACAGCTAAGGTAGATCCCCAGGTTGTACATATTAAAATCCTACCGAACCAAGGTGACTTTCTAGTTATTCAGTGGTGCCCTAGGTTTTCTTCTCCAGAGTTGTTTTTTACAAAATCCTATGGACCAACGTGCTTCAGAGGGTTGGGAACCAAGGGAAAAACAAGGAGTCCGGGCTGATCAAATCCTTAATTATATAAATCCTGGGTATCTACCTTAGCTGGTCCTCCAGTGCCCTCCCAAAACGCCCTCAAGCAGCAACAAAGCACCTCACCCTCTATTTCATCGGAGCTTTGTTCGAACCTCGTTAAACGTGATCCTGTTGGCATGTGTGCACAAGTGTATTCATATTCTGTATGCAAAAAAACATAGTTATATATATACCGTGATATCATACCCGTTGAATAACGCCAAAATCGTTGGACGCAGGACTTTAATTGAAAAAATGTATTTTAATCCTTCCGAGCTGACGTCATTTCTTTTTTTGTTCCAGGGTCGTCGCTCATTATTTTTTGACTGAGATTCCGTCGTGTTAAAATCTTCGGGCCGGTAATGAAGTCTCGAGGGGTAGCTGCTCTGTGCTCAAACAGGGGGTTCATTGGCTAGAGCCCTTTGACATTGTGTCCACACTTCACTGGGAGCTTAGAGCATCAGCTGGTCAGCTAGCTAAAGGAATGGTTAATGGTTGCAGTTGTTGGCATTCCAACCAACTTTGGCTGGCATTCTGTTCAAGGCATGAGTTAAGCAGGTTCTATGTTCTTCCAGCCAAGGGCTTCTGAGCTGTGGGCCTCGGAGCTTGTGGGGCCTGCATTACCTTCTGGACACACTTGGTGCCCTGACAACAATGAATTGCAGTTATTTGCATTCCAACCAACTTTAGTTGGCATTCTGTTCAAGGAATGATTTAAGCAGGTTCTATGTTCTTCTAGCCAAGAGCTTTTGAGCTGTGGCGTGGGCCCTTGAGCTTTTGGAGCCTGCATTATTTTCTGGACACATATGGTGCCATGACAGCAATGAATGCTCAGCAAACACAATCGTCACATCGAATTCACGACATCACTGTTGGCTGGCCCAGGACATGGCTGCTCCCTCCAATGCGCCACCTATGAGTGATGATGAGGCTATGGATGATGGTCAGGGTGGTGGCCCACCAAATGAATGTGGAACACCAACTTAAACAGTTCTGGATCATGGAGTATCAAGCCAGAGTGCGCTATGCCAGTGTGTCACCATATGAGATAGAGCAGTCATTGCAGTTCGATGAATGGATGGCCAAAGTATTATGGCCAAAGTAGTGGACGTGCCTTCTTCACATTTGCCTCAAAAATGGAGCGGACCTGCAGAAGGGAAACTTACTCCTTCTAAAGTTGTGAGCTGTGGAGTATCGACTCACCTTGCGACCTTGTCAGCGTTGTGCTGATGGTAGAGTGTGCATTTTGCTTTGTCTGGATGGTTCTTCTGACTGTATTTGGTCTGTTTGGCATGGTGTGGATTGTGCTTCTTGGTGCTGTTCAAGGGGGAGAACATCTCACGAGCTTTGGTTTGCCTTGATGGAACCACTGGAGCAGGAGCTGTGTCATGGACCATGCGGATAGACGAGAAACCAGACATTTTGTGGCTGGAACAGAGACCTTTTGGTGCCCTGTATGGCCAGGATCAGCAAAATACTCGTTTTTGTAGGCAGAAAAATGTGTTTTGGCAGACGTGGTTGACTGTGGAAGATCAGCCAAATCTTCAGGCGCTGCTCAGGTTTTGCCAGACGTTTCTGCATCTTTGAACAGGGAGACATGTTTGTTTTTCGTTTTGCAGGTTTTCTTCGGACAGCCTGAGGTGCTGAGATTTTGGTGCTTCCTCGGCAGTCTGGAAAGGTGATGAAGATGCCTTGACAGGAGAGAAGTTGAAATCATTTTTGATGTGATTGTAGCGCAGGGTGGCAACGTGTAAATCTGGTCTGGTGATTAGTGATGCGGTGATGCGCCGTGTTGCAAAATGTAGTATGGGGTGTTGTGATCTAGTGTAGGGTGTGTCAAAGTTTCCAACAACACTTTCGACTGGCCACTTCTGAGAACACTGTGCGCAATGCGCATTCCACCCTTCAGCCCGCAATTCCCAGAACCCCCTCACAATGTAAGAGGTGCGCAATTAGAGCCGGCACGGCTCACACTTCTACGGGAACAGCTGACTCTTCAGCCTAAACGCACGGCGTGAACTGCGACTGCTCATGTCATAACGCAATGACCTATCATTAACTATGAAACATGTGTTTTCATAAACGTTTTCTTGGGATTGTTGCATTGCGCAGCGTGTCGGCATCTCTCTCTCCAAACTACTAATGATGTTTCCAACGCCCGTGTCTGCGTGAGATTGTAGACCTGCTGTTGTGGTATCCGTCTTTTTGGTGAATCTTGTGCTGTATTGGAAAGGGTGAGACAGTGAAAAGGTGAGACCATGCCACAAAGGGCGTTGATTGCCTCCAAGGGTGGTGTCCGCTCGTTCAAGTCCTTCAACACAGTGTTGATGAGTGCGTTGTCAAGGTTTCAATGGTGCAACTCGCTTGACCGGCCGCTGAATGGCCCGTTGGGAATATCAGCTTTCTTTCTCACCTCCTCCAGCGTCCAATCTTTTAACAAGATGCCATCGCGAAACACTTCCACCAAGAGGTCCTCGGCAGTTGTAAGAAAACAACACAGACTCAAAACACAGGAGGCACTATCACTATCACTCGTGTCTCCAAAACTCTGTCCTTTGTAGGGTCACCACGCCCGCTCGCTACAGTGACATAGTTGCCATCAGCGCTGTAATGCAAAAAACCTTCACCTCCCGGAACACCGTTCTCATCTTGCCGGGGCTTGTAACGGTCCTGAAGGCACTGTCAAGCAGGAACAAATTGTGCTTCAAGTTACATTAATGAGAATAACGTTGTAGGAGATCGCTCGCAGATAGAATAAAGGCTTTACTTGCAAATAGAATGCGCTCAAGAAAACATGTGACATTGAGTACGGAAAACAAATGACTTGCACATGGAATGTGGCAAGCAATGGCCGCAATGCTTCTCCCTTCCCAACTTGCATTTTCATATGAGCACCAAAAGATACAACTACGTGTAAGACATATTCGCTGTGCACCCTCAAGCGCTGACAAGTTCAATTGAGCACTCCGTAGAATATCAATCCTGATAGAACATATAATGTTGACCTCTGATTAATAAAGGGATCCGAAATAAAGTTAGCCAAAGAAAAGTAAGAAAACTAAGTATAACAAAAGATAAACAACAAAAATAACAAAAAATATTCAAACATATATATATATATATACTAAAATTAGCAATAACAAAAAAAACACAAATAAATAACAAAAACCTTAATAAAATTTACCCTACGTAAAGCGAATGGATTTTCATGAATCCACCTTACCCTAAATAAAGTTTACCCTAAATAACTGAATCTAACGATCTGCACTTTTATCTTGAGCCAAACATATTAGATTGACTAGTGCTCTTTGCACTTCCTAAGGCATGTGCCTTGAATCATTTCAAGTCCCCCCCCGGAGTGGTTGGTCAATGACGATGACCCCGCGCAAGCGCCGATGCAACAACGCTTTGGAATGGACCCCCCCCCAGCCAGGGTTCCGCACCAAGCAGCAGGATCAGAGCCAGATCCAACCATTTCGGGTAAGGAAGTTCACTGTCTATACGGTCTATACGCCAAAAGAACCCGCTAATTTTGGAGGTGTCTACAGAATTCTGTACATGGACCCGTTAAGACGCTCCACCCATCCATGTTCACTTTTTCCGCGCATTGCGCAGGTATGGTTCAGCTGACCGGCGCATCAAAGGGCCAGCAGCTGCGAGCGCGCCACGGTCACGATGCCCACTCCTTGGATGGGTACCGCGCAAGCGCAGGTTACCCAAC